TTGTTGGACTTCCTTCCCCCCCCCCCCTCTCCTTAGAACATAAGGTTGACAACGGAGTAGGGTGTGCTTTTTAAAAAAATTTTTTGACTAGGCATACATATTTCCACTTTTGCAGTCAAAATTGAGCACCCCCCCATGTGTGTGTGTAAAGTGTCTCTATTCACACAGCATACCTGAAAAATATTTTTTTTAGAAAATATTTCCTGCCTCTATTTAGCAGGCCTTTGCAAGCTTCTCAATGTCCAAGTGACAGGAAACTATCTGTCCCCATAGAAAGACCAGAGACATACTAAGCTCCCCCTATCTTAAAAGGAGAACTATAGGGTTAAGTCTTTTCCCCATAGTCCTCCTTAGGGCAACGGGAGGACACAAACTAGCGTCCTCCCATCACCCTAGGTTCAGTATATAGGGAGCTGTAGCTCTCTATATACTGAGGCGCCGCAGCTGAAGCGGATCCCGACAATTATGTCTGGATCCGCCCAGCTGCGTGACTGACAACTGGCTCTGCCTATCTAGAGGCAGAGCCAGCTGTACCTCTTCTCGATCTTTAACCCTTTGTTAGGACAGACAAGTCCAGTGGCACATTGCAAACTTTGTAGAAACATTTATTGTAGCACACGGGTACACATCATCCCACTTTGGTTCTTCTTCAGTCTGACATGTTTTAACCACTCATTAATTTAGTCAGAAACATTTTCTGTGGGTAACTGCCGATATTGGAGCAAGATGGAGTTGGCCGGTGTGCACCCACTGTCCTATTTGGTGCTGCTGTGAAGGAGCGGTGATATTGGGCTATGGAAGTTGGTCAAATATAAATTTGTGCTATCCCAATTTGGCTGCTAAAGTGGAATTAAACTCTCAGCAAGCAGTAGATATAAGCAAAAGTTACCAAAAAGGTAATTAATGGCTTACCTGTGTCTCTGCCGCTCGCTCCCATCTGAAGATGTGAAGTTTCTCGAGTGGCCGAGCAGGATGATGGGGCAGACTCATGCGCAGTAGAGATCTTCAGCGGGGAGGAGAGACACAGAGGAGCCGAATGCACGCAGCCGAGAGCATGCACGGGGATAGACACCGTGGGACAAGAAGAGGCTGGAGTCTGGGCTGGATCAGAGACCGGCACCAGCGCTGGAGAGATTACTGAATACAAGTGGAAGGAAGAAGATGATCGGATCAAGAGGCATCATTTAAAGGCAGGGGTCTCAAAGTACCGGCCGCGTGCCTGACTTGCGGGAGCAGCTACACGGTCTGCATCTCTGTCGGATGCAGACCGCAGAGCTGCTCCTGTCAGCTCCGGCTGGGGCTCCGTCAGTTCTGAGCTCGGGCCGAATGATGGATGATTAGTAAGGTCTGAGGGGATTGGAAGGGGGGGGTGTATTATTATGTGTGTGTTGTGGAGATTGGAATGGGGGGTCCCCTATATTTCAGGTGCGATTAGGGATTCCTGCATCACAAACTGCACAGGAATCCCTAAACTGGCGTTTACATGCAGCAACTGTCACCCATTCAAGTTAATGATCAGGTGACAGCCGCTGCATATACATGCCTGCATACCGCATGTAATCGTATCCAGGGATATCGATCGATTCCTAACGGCATGTAATCCTTTCACATATGATTACAAGCGGTGTGCAGGCGTTTACATGCAGCAGCTGTCACCCGATCATTAATTTGAATCGGTGACAGTTGCCGCTTGTAACACGTGCATACATTAAAACTGGTACCATATGTAGTAGCGCCCCCCATGGGACTAAAAACTGTTGTCCAGTGGCCCCCGACTAAATTGAGTTTGAGACCCCTGATTTAAGGTAAGTCCTTAAACCAGCATGGGGCGGGGGGGGGGAAGAGAGAATGTGTGACTTTAATGTCACTTTAAAGGTGGAATAAAGACAGAGATCCATCTAGTTCAACCTGCGCGTGTGTATATACTTCTCTGCATCCAGATACGATTGTATCCGCATTGCCCTTTTGTGCGGTTGGCAAATAAAAAGCGTCACATTTAAACATAAATTGAATTTATTCTAAAGCAAACTCAGGATTTTTTTTTCTTCTTATTTCCTTTTTTAGCAAATTCTATCACATACATGTTAATGCAACGAAAGAAAAAAGAAAAATATCTGTACAATTGCCATGATACACGGGAAAGTGAAACAATCAAGATATAAATACAGAGATGTAACATGACAATAACAAAAAAAATCCATGCACATTAACCCAAGTATCCATCAATTCTTGTTTATGTATGCATTGCTAACCTTTCCCCATCATGGCGTAATGGGGACCCCCCCCAATGATCCAGTATCATACCTGTTTGCGCTTGCAGGGTCCATAAATAATAGAAGTCATTGGCGATGCTACTAAGCTTATTAGAGGAGTGATATATAGAACTAGATACACGTGTTTGATTAGGCCGTTAGTAGGCAACAGAAGAAGCTCGCATCTTTAAAATGAGTGAATGTGATTTTTTTTTTCCTTGACAGTTCTGCTGTTCTTGGGAGCTACAGGATCGTTCTTTGGCAGGTTGGGCTTTGAAGCGATATAGGCTTGGAAAATACCTTAATTTACGTATGAAGTATTGGACTGGCATTCAGTCAGCTGGCAGCCCTTATCAAGCTACTTCATTCGTGCGATGACCTGTTTTAGCTGACTGCTGCTTTGTGTATAGGAGGAGAAAAAAAAAAAAAGGAGACCAAAAGAAAAATAAAACCCCTGTATAGAAATTTCATAATCTCAAACCATCGGCCACTTTTGACAAGCACTAGACTTAGACCCTAACAGTCAGCCATGTAACAAGCACTTGGTTCCGAACTACAGATGGTCTGTACAAAAAAATCCCACAGCGTCCCTCTCCCAATAATCTCCTATACAGGGATCTTGCGGTTCTGTTACGGTAGTGACGCCGCACAGCAGAGGCCGTCGTCCACGTTCCTTCGGAGTGTAACACTTCTTCGTGGAAAGGTTAAGCATCACAAGTTCCCCCTGCGAGCCCAGAAATCCTCATACGGACAGAGCTGAGCCCTTTCAGCCATTCATAGCAAAGCAGTCTATTTACATTGACGTTAAATAAGACATAAATAATTTGAACGGTGAAGAGACTGTTCGGGGAAACTGCAGCATGTGAACGGTTGTGGAGGTGCGGGTGAGACGGGATGGAGGTTGGAGCACGCAGCTTTGTAGATGCCGTGTAACAGATGTGGGATCGTGTCTCCGCTTCTGTAGATTACACATAAGGAGCACAATAATGCCGGATCACATTCAACCTAGTCGTGGTCGGTCGACTCTGTCTCGGTCACTCGAAATAAAATAAGAAATTTTCGATAGGACGGCTGACATATTTTCTCATTCTCGATTTTTGGGAAGAAAAAAGAAAAACCCCCCAAAATGCAAGTCTGTAATAAATGTGACAGTATGCATGTGCAAAAGCATACAATTCTGAACACCTAAAATGTCACTTTTTTTTCTGAACAAGTTTCTTGGCGGCACTTTGCCCACGCATGGCTCCATCTGGAAGCGCACCACCCTCGGGGGTACACGCGGGCAAAATCCCGGAAAACTACGCTTAAATATTTCACTTTGAACCTTCACACTGGGGGGGAAAAAAAAGGAATCGCCTAATAATCCATTTAGACTTTCCAACCATTTAGAGCTCTAAAGGTTCATGTTAAAAATTCATCGCCAACGTACGGCGTCCACTTATCAATGCAGACAAGCCAGTCAACACCAATGAGACGAGTTTAAAAAAAAAATAGAACACAGCATTTCTTTAAAAATACATGACATCCCCATCATATGGACACAGAAGGATTACCAAAATAAAACGTGTACATGTTACAATGACGTGTTAAGTCCCGGCCGTTCTGTGCATAGAATTTGATGCATCT